TTTTCTCCTTATGACTATCTAGCATTCTATTCAGTTTATATGTTAATTTAATTTAATTTCAGTCAATCTAATCAAAAAGTATACTCTTCATAACCTTGGGAATTTTCTCTATTTTGCTTATGAAAGTACATGTTCTTGACAAATACTTGTTGAATGTGGATGAATGCATGAGTTTCCCCATCTAACATTATCAGTGTATGATATAAACCAAAGAGTCATCTTTGCTAACGGCACAGACACAAAAAGAAATGACTTCATTATATCAGGGACTATGTTTAAACCGCAAGAGAAGTAGGAGAGAGTTATGGAGACACGAATGGACCTATTTTGAATGATGAAACAACATGTTAGTGTACCTATTTGGGATTTAAGACCAATGTGAACGCGAACATTTCAAGGATCATGACTATTCCTACACTTTGCCTGCTGTGTCTAGCAAATCAGATAATGAGGAAACACTAACCTTGTGGCTGACTGTGGAAATTAGATCAACTCGGAGGAGTAGGAACACGTGTTTGTTGTCAAAAGAATCACATGTGTCACTGTGGGAATGGTGACCAAGATCTTGGCCCTTTGAGATTGTTTCCCCAGACAGGAAAAGTGGGCAGCCTGTGAGAACAGCACACAAGTGGACATGAGCATTTTACTCCTCTGTCTGCCAGATCCCAGGAGCATCAGCTATTATTCCCACAGCTGGTTGCTTGAGCCTACTGAGTAGCATCATAAAGAGACCGGCTCCTGAAAGTGAAAGCCAGATCCAGCTGCCCTCCTTGAGTAGAACAGCACCATTCTCAGGTGAGTGCTCTCTTACCAGGAGTCTGGCAGCCCAACCATCCTGCCACATTGAGGGACCTTGAAGACGCCACACACTTCATTACAAGGCAAGCCGCAATGCCCTAGCTGATGATCTCCAGAAAAGCAGGTGATATATAACAGAATTATGTTCAGCTATAAAGAATGAAGTAATACCACTTACAGAAAAATGGATAGAATTAGAGATCATTTTGTCAAGCAAAGTAAACTAGACTCAGAATGACAAATACTACCTTTGCTGTCATATGCAGAATCTCTCTGTGTGTGTGTGTGTGTGTGTGTGTGTGTGTGTGTGTGTGTGTAGAAAATAGAAAGGGAATTATCAGAGGCGAGGTAGGAAAGGGGGATTATGCAGTCCATATAACATGATGTAGAAGAAGGAAATATTTGAGGTATGAAGGGAACCAGCAAGAGGGTGGTGAGGAGCTGAATAAGAACAATGTTTCCATGAAAATGTCATGGTAAATCCTTTTATTTTGTATGCTAACTTTAAAAACTGATGTTTAAACACCCTAAAGAAACTGCAATAGCAATTATAGTAAATATGCATGACATTTTAGAGAAAAGCTGTACTCGTAACACAGTTTTGTGTTATATTCCATGAACACTGTGCATCGTTCCATTCATTAGATACTGTGTTTAATTTCTCTCAATAATAGTTTGTAAATCACAATGTATAAATTTTCTACCGGTTTTGCTTAAATTCATTTTCATTGATGCTATTGTGAATAAATGTTTTTGGAAGAGCATTTTCTGATATTTCATTATTGCTATAGGAAATATTGAGCTTTGTAGACTGCTATCGACACTACAACCTTGCTATTTACTGTTTACAATATTAGTGTATTGTAGACTCCTCCTTTAAAATAACACAAATGGACCAGAAACTGGTTCTGTGCTTTAAGCACCAGCCAGACTGGACAAGTGCTATGCAGAGAGTTGCATTAGGAAAGCACCTGACTGTAGATGAGAGAGAGACCTGACTGCATATAACAGAGTCCTGACTGTGGGTGACAGAGACCTGACTGTGGGTGACAGAGTGTCCTGACTGTGGATGACAGAGACCTGACTGTATATAACAGAGTCCTGACTGTGGATGACAGAGACCTGACTGTATATAACAGAGTCCTGACTGTGGATGACAGAGACCTGACTGTGGGTGACAGAGTGTCCTGACTGTGGGTGACAGAGTGTCCTGACTGTGGGTGACAGAGACCTGACTGTATATAACAGAGTCCTGACTGTGGATGACAGAGACCTGACTGTGGGTGACAGAGTGTCCTGACTATGGATGACAGAGACCTGACTGTATATGACAGAGAGACCTGACTGTGGGTGACAGAGAGACCTGACTGTGGGTGACAGAGAGACCTGACTGTATATGACAGAGAGACCTGACTGCATATAACAGAGTCCTGACTGTGGATGACAGAGACCTGACTGTGGGTGACAGAGTGTCCTGACTGTGGGTGACAGAGTGTCCTGACTGTGGATGACAGAGACCTGACTGTATATGACAGAGAGACCTGACTGTGGGTGACAGAGTGTCCTGACTGTGGATGACAAAGAGATCTGACTGTGGATGATAGAGAGACCTGACTGTATATGACAGAGAGACCTGACTCTGGATGACAAAGAGACCTGACTCTGGATGACAGAGTGTCCTGACTGTGGATAGTAGAGAGACCTGATTCTGGATGACAGAGAGATCTGACTCTGGATAACAGATAGATCTGACTGTGGATGACAGAGAAGCTGACTCTGGATAACAGATAGATCTGACTGTGGATGACAGAGTGTCCTGACTCTGGATAACAGAGAGATCTGACTCTGGATGACAGAGACCTAACTGTGTATGAGAGAAGTCTTTAATATATCAGTGATACAGAAGCCCTTGAGAATGTGAATCGTGACTTTTTGCCTCTCGGTACACCTCCAACCTGCCTTCTTTTCACGTTTGTCTCCATTTCTCTTGGGTACAGTGGTCAAGTAATATGGTCTTCCTCTAGGGAAGGTTGTTTTGCTTTGCTTACACCACACAGAGTAATTCACTGACACATTTGCATTCTCTCCCACAAGCTGTTTATGACAGATACAAAGACAGATGGTTGGATCCAAGATAGAAATAAAAACACACAGGACTGTTTCCAAAAAATAAAACATACAAGATTGTTTACATTTCCTGTGTGTTCACACCAGGAGAGAAATGTGACAATGGGGAGTGGGTGTTTTGACAGAAATCTAGACATATCAGGACAGGGAAATTGCCAGAGATCACAGGGTGATACCTTGATAAACCAGAGAGGCCAGCTTGGGGTGCATCTCCCCAGATAGAGTGGCATCTGGGACAAAGTAGCCCTGTGAAGATTGAGTGGTGTGCATTGATATCTCAGGCTGTGTTCACAACTCTTCTTGGGATGCTTATCCCACTCTCTTGCAATTATCTTGCATCTAACTGAAAAGTGTGATTGTCTCTGACAGAATCAGGCAGGACGGTTTGGAATTCATTATCTGCCAGTGAGGAGAAGCTGTTCCTTTATCTACACAAAACCTAAGGGTAGAAAAAAAATCAAGACCAGTGATACAGATTTTATAACCTTTGAACTCTTAATCTGTTTGTCTTTGCTATACAAGATAGGGAGGTTGCAACTTTAAAATTTCTTAGTTCTCATTTTTTGTGATTTAAAGCATTAGTTCTCTAAACTCTCTCCATTAAGGGTCATCTCCAAGCTGTATTAAAGACCTCGGTTATAAGGGGAAAAGCATCATGGGAGAGATAAACAAATTAATCAGGGTACCCTGGATACCATCAACATGGACACCTGCATCATCTGTTACTAAGCATCAAAGCCCATTATTCTCACAGCCAAGCCAGTAACTGCTGAAGTTAGCCAGCTCTAAAAAGAGGGTATTAGGGAGCGTGGCAGAGAAAGATGTGAGTGCTCAGATGATAAGGTGGGGTGTGGAACTGCAACAAAGCAACATTGGGCTCCAGAAAACGAAGAGAAGAAATTCCTCCCTTGACATGAATGACATACTGGCACAGGTCCCAAGGGAAATCCTCAGAATATTATCATGAAAAATCAGTAATACTGCTCCCCAAATCAGGGTTTACACCACAAACTCTCTTTGGGGCAAAATAGTATACCCTTATTGGTGACTTCCAAGTATCCAGTTGGCTGCTGGCCAGCAGCGATGGAAACAACTGTCAGAGGGTGCATGTCTAGTACCTGGGATCTGCTGGAGGTGATGGAGCCTGCCAGCATCTCCATCTGCAAAGAGATAGTTACAGGGAGCTGGTAGATTTGGATTTATGAATCCAGACACATTCCTTTTTCTTTTCTTTTCTTTCTTTCTTCTTTTCTTTCTATTTTTTTTTTGAAAAGTACTTTCTATTCCACCTACCTTGGAAGATCCTTTATTGTCTCTTCCTTCTACCTAATTCTGCTTCAAGACTGAAATGAAAAGAACATCTTTTCTAGGAAGGCTCCTCTGTCTTTGTCATCCCCTACAGTCAATTAATCTCCTCTGCTAGCTTTATCACAATGCTCTAATGTATCTGTTACTTATCCATCTCCTATTCTAAGCAAGCCTTGTGGAGGTCAAAAGGAATGATTCCCAGATCTGTGTCTCAAAGATAACATTGTGCTTAACAGGTCATTCAAGTAAATATTTCTGAAATTTGAATTAATAAACATTAAGAGAGAGGGAAGAGAAAGAAAAATGATGAAGGAATAAAAGCAGAAATAAAGGATGAAAACAAAGGTGGGAATAACAGGGAAGGGATGGAGAGAGCAAGGGAAGGATGATATCTCTATCTGAAAAGAGAGTTAATATGGTAATTTTATGAAATGGAGAGTGCATAATATCCAGACAGTCAAGGCAAACTCAAAAAGAGGGTTTGAAGAAGTCACTCTTTGGGGATAAGTATTTTTCTACTAAAGTTTTATTAAGTATTAAATGTACCTTAGTAATAGTGAGTAATAAATTAATTTTGAGCATTCATATTTCTTCCTCTGGAAAAGAAAGCCATGTAGCTTATGGAAGAGCTGAGGTGTAGTTGGAGGTAGAGAAGGGAGGGAGTGCTAACATGCATTAAGTTCCAGGGAACTCTGATTTTGCTCCATACCTTTGCAGGCTGTCACTGTGACCTCACCCTCTCCTGTCCTCCTCACTTGGTGTCAGCGATGAGCTCCTGCAACTTCACACATGCCACCTTCGTTCTTATTGGTATCCCAGGACTGGAAGAAGCTCAATTTTGGTTTGGCTTCCCCCTGCTTTCCATGTATGCAGTGGCATTGTTTGGAAACTGTATCGTCGTATTCATCGTGAGGACTGAGCGAAGCCTGCATGCACCCATGTACCTTTTTCTCTGCATGCTGGCAGCTATTGATCTGGCTTTGTCCACATCCACCATGCCCAAGATCCTCGCCCTCTTTTGGTTTGATTCCCGAGAGATTACTTTTGATGCCTGTCTCGCCCAGATGTTCTTCATTCATGCTCTCTCGGCAATTGAATCTACCATCCTGCTGGCCATGGCCTTTGACCGTTATGTAGCCATCTGCCACCCACTGCGTCATGCTGCTGTGCTCAACAATACAGTGACAGCCCAAATCGGCATGGTGGCTCTGGTTCGGGGATCCCTATTCTTTTTCCCACTCCCACTACTGATCAAGCGGCTGGCATTCTGTCACTCCAATGTGCTCTCCCATTCCTATTGTGTCCATCAGGATGTGATGAAGTTGGCCTCTACAGACACATTGCCCAATGTAGTCTATGGTCTAACTGCCATTCTGCTTGTCATGGGTGTAGATGTCATGTTCATCTCCTTGTCCTATTTTCTGATTATACGAACAGTTCTACAACTGCCTTCCAAGTCAGAGAGAGCTAAGGCATTTGGGACCTGTGTGTCACACATTGGTGTGGTTCTGGCCTTCTATGTACCACTCATAGGCCTATCGGTGGTACACCGTTTTGGAAACAGCCTAGACCCCATTGTGCATGTTCTCATGGGGGATGTCTACCTTCTGCTGCCCCCTGTGATCAATCCCATCATCTATGGTGCTAAGACAAAGCAGATCAGAACAAGGGTGCTGGCTATGCTCAAGATCAGCTGTGACAAGGACATTGAAGCTGGAGGAAACACGTGACCCTTACCATTCCATCACCATTGTTCTAGATAGCTTAATATAGTAATTCATCAGACCTGTTTAATTCCCATAAGCACATTAGTGCTTTTCACTGGATGGGATAGTGAACTAAAGTATGGTTTAGTTCATTGTGGATATAATGTGAAATAATCTGTATCAATGAATATTGTGCTGTTTAAAGACTGCTATAAAATGAGACACAGTGATAACAAAGCAACTAGGATTTGTGATTTAAACTAACTGGCCAGGTTTGTGATTTTGATGGAATCGGTTCAAATTACCAATGACTTTGTTTTATTCCTACTCTCTTTGTCGTGAAGCTATTGTTCAGCATAACTTCTAAAATGTAGAACATGAAACTGACAGTATGGTAGCCAAGGCTTGTTTCCTTTACTTCAAGTTTATTATTCACTACCCAGAAACATATCGAAGCCCTAAATAGTAACGCTTATGAATGTATCATGTATGTTTAACATGTTCCAGGCTGCATGACAAGTGTTTTGCAGCCTTTCTGTGATCTCATCATTTCTCCAAGGAAGGTACCATTTTTGCCCTTCACAACATGAGATAGAGGCTTTAATGAGAAAAGAAACTTTCTTGTATGTGCTGTGCCAAGATTTTAAATTAAATTTGGTAATTGAATAGATTTGTTTTACTACCATGTTATATTGCTTCCTGTTTAACATCTGCCATCTATTTCCTCTGCCTGTTAGAATTTCTGTTTTCTCAGTACCGTGTGCTAACATGGGTGTCTTTGTGTTTGAGCAATGTGATTGACCCTGTACTAGTTGGTGGCAGAAAACTCTTCCTGATAGAGAAGGCTGCTTCTGCTCAGATAAAAGGAGGACCTCTCAATCTTTGAATCTCCTACATATCCTTGATCGATTTTGTATTCTTTTTATTGTGTCCTGCATCTATCAACTCCTTTGAATGTGTAACATGTGGTAGTGACTGAGTCTTGACTTAAGTGTCCGACAACATAATAATTTATCTTGAAATGTTCAGTGTTATTTCTACTGTTTTTATGTTCATAGAACCCTATAAAGTAATGTTGGGCGATGTGACAGCTCCCCCAGTCTTTTCATCGTCAGTGCAAAGGGACTGCCAAGTATGTCTTGCAGAACTGTAAAGATGTTGTATGAACTTATCTCATGTACAATATTCCCTTTGTATTAAAAGAGATGATGAAAAGGTTCTAGAAATAGTAGTGATACCTGCATAACAATATTAGTATATTTAGTGTATACTTAATACTTAAAATGGTGAAATTTATGTAATAGGCATCTGCCACAATAAAAGAAAACGTTTAAATTGTTGTAAAATATTTTATTGTCAATTATATGTCACTAATGTAGTAAAAACAAAGTTTAGATATGTTAGGTTAAAGAAAATATGTTACTAAGGCTTTTAAAAATAGTTCATAAGGGGTGATATTGGGTCTGAACTACTAAAAGTCCAAAACTCAATAGTTTGCTGTGGATATAACAGGCCCATATGACAGTCTTTCAGAGCTCTCAGGAAGCTGGTAGCTGTACTTGTAACTGGCCAGATAACCTAAGGATGAGCCAACAGCAGGAAGAGCAAAATTTTTCTGTCACTGCACACCCTTGGGTAAGTTATGTACTTTCTTTGCATTTTTCCACCTATAATTTTGTAATAGGCTTCATTTCCAAGGCCAAAAGGCAGAAACAAAAAATCCCAAGAGAACTTTGTCATTCTTTCTGTGAATATCATGTAATACTTTTTGATTAGAGTAATAAAACGGTAATCATGTGAATGAGGGGAAATCATTTGACATTGTTATGAATAGCATTTTACATCAGCTTGACTGGGATATGACCTCCTGATATTTGAACATAACTTTTTCTGGATATCTCCATGATGGTGTGTTTTTGAGTGATAGCAACACTGTTATCCGGCACTTTGTAGATGCAGGAAGGAGTACCAATGTCATCCTCAATTACATCATGAGTGTAAATCCACAGATTATATGGGACACTTTATGAAAGAGAGGGGAAGAGAGACAGAGAAACAGAGAGAAAAAAAAAGAACTTTCTACTCTTCTGTCCCATACTATGTTCCCTCAGAATAATGTGATGAAAGCACAAACATAGCCTATACTGCACCCCAAAAGTGCTATAGGACCATGGGTTGAAATTTGGGGGCTCTGAACAATGTTTTCCATTCTGACACTAGATGGGTAATCTTCCCTAATTCATACAATCTCTTCAGTGAAGGATTTCAATTGATTAGGATAATCTCAAAATTTGCTGCCGCATTTCAAACATGCCATTCTATTAATATCATTAACAAGCCTTAGAGAATTCCTGAGGACTCACAATACCAATGCAGGACACTCCGTGGATGTTGCACTCTGGCCTACATGAGAGGCTGGCCCCTTCTCTACGCCTGCACCTGTTCTTTGCCCAAACATGGCATTTCTCAATTTAATCTCCTACACTCTGTTCCTACCAACTATGGCTCTTCCTAAAAAATCAAAACTGCTCTCAGGGACAGAATTTTTCCATCACAAGAAACATTCAAAGGCTCTCTAAATGGAAGTTGAGTCCAATAGGAAGAGTAGCGGCTGTGTAACTTTTCAGGTCAATTCTGTCTTTGAACTGGCTCCTTGATTGTTGCTACCTGGTAGTTCTTTTATGGGAATTAGATATAATAATCCTTGGTCAACACTTACCACAGCAGTCAGTACTTAGTGTGCTCTCCACAGATACCTGGCATATTATAATAAGAGGGAAACAGGTAAAAATTGTGTTGCCTAACACTGAGGTAAACGCATAAGAACACACATTGGAACCACAGCAAGCAAAGTTCTATGTATGTAGCCGACCTCCTATCTCAGCCCCCAGAGAAGCACTCACCTGCTGAATTAACCCAAAAGCTTGAAATTTTAAAATAGGACGTGTTGAGGGGATGAAGGGGAGCTGAGCAGTTAACAGCACTGGCTGCTCTTCCAGAGGACTTAGATTCAATTACTGGCACCTCAACAGCAGCTCAACACTGTCTGTAATCTCACTTCCAAAGGATCTAATGCTCTTTTCTGTCCTCTGCAACAAGTAATATGTAGTACATAGTCAAAAACACTCATACACACAAATTATAAAATAAAAACATTTTTTAAAAACTGGAATATTTACCCATTGTCCATCAACAGAAATCCTTAGAAATTCAAGCATGAAAATAAAACTTAAAATTGCACCAAGATAGCCCTTTACATTACAACATTCTGTACTCTGTCTAATATGGCCCAAGAGCTCATTCTTCACAGTGCTGCACTAAGCAAATGGATTGCTTTAACTGAGTGAATTTTATTGTTACCACAAAATTAGCAGAGCCCATTGTTTAATTCCAAAACTGTAATCTTTTGGTAAATGTATATGTAAGCAATGTAATCCTTATACTTGTAATCCATATTCCTTTGCAAGTGATTAAAATATAACCTTTATCACCAAATTTAAAAAAAACAGACTTGCAGAATAGAGGAGAGCAACATAAGAGATACCATAATAGTAGGAGCCATTATAGGTTTGAGGAGAGATCTGGCACTAGAGAGATTTCCAGAGATCTACAAGGATGACACCAACTGGCAATCTAAGCAATAGTGGAGAGGCTACCTTAAATGCCCTTCCCCGATAATGAAATTGATGACTACCTTATATGCCGTCCTAGAGCCTTCATCCAGTGGCTAATGGAAACAGAGACAGACACCCACAGCTAAACACTGGACTGAACTCCTGGAACCCAATTGCACAGAGGGAGAAGTGATGAGCAAAGGGGTCAAGACCAACCTGGTGAAACCCACAGAGACAGCTGACCTGAACAAGGGGAAGCTCATGGACCCCAGACTGATGGCTGAGAGGCCAGCATAGGACTGATCTAGATTCCCTGAATGTGGGTGTCAGTGAGGAGGCCTCAGCAATCTATGGGGATCAGTATTTATCCCTGGCATATGAATGAATTTGGGGAGCTCATTCCACATGGAGAGATGATCTCTCAGCCTGGACACATGGGAGAGGGCCTTGGCCCTGCCCTAGATGATATGATAGACTTTGGAGGACCTCACCCTCCCTGGAGAGTGGAGGGAAGATCATATGGGGGTTGGGAGGGTTGAGGGGGCAGGTGAGGAGGGGAGAGAGAGGGAGCTGGGATTGACACATGAAATAAGCTTGTTTCTAATTTAAATTTAAAAAAATAACAGTCTTGCAAGTTCTCCATCTCTCTTCTGGTTCTCACTCCTCTCTGTACTTCACACACTTTTCCCAATCCCGCCCCCACACACAGCATACAAACACTAGTGGGGGGTGCGAAATGGAAGAGATCACAATGGGTGAGGGGGATGGAGTTTCTTTTTTTTTTTTTTAAGAGTGGATTTCTTTTTTTTTTCTTTTAATTTTAAATAGCTTGTTTTACATGTCAATCCCAGTTCCCTCTCCCTCCCCTCCTCCCGCAGGCCCCCACCATCCCCCCCCAGCCTCCTACCCTATTGCCAATTCCTTCCACATAGGGGATATCTAGAGTCTGTCATTTCACTCAGGGCAGGGTCCAGGCACTCCCCTAAGAGTCCAGGCTGAGAAAGCATCCCTCTTTTTGTTATGGACACACGATGTCTGTTTGTATTCCAGGGATAAACACTGATCCATTGCTCAGGGACCCATAGGTTGCCCAGGCCTCCTCACTGACTGTCACATTCGGGGGGTCTGGATCAGTCCCATGCTGGCCTCCCAGCTGTCGGTCTGGGGTCCAAGTGCTCTCCCCTTGTTCAGACCATTCTTTGCCAAGGGATGGAATTTCAATGAGACAAAGAAGGGGCAAAGTGATTGACATGTTCACTGGAGATGGTGTAGCAGGCCAGCTTCCAAAGCTGTCCCAAGAAAATGTGGTTGCATTTCCAGTGATGGCAAATGAAAGGAAGAGGCAAAGACCACTGCTGTAGCTTAGCTACACAATCCAGGATCCTGGGAGAGCATTTGTCTTTCTGTTCCCATTACCTGGAAAGGCTTCTGCATTTGAGGAGCCTAGTCAGCTGGCATGTGGCCGCAGGCTGTTCCTTCTGTGAGAGGCCTCTGAAACTGGGACTCTCAAGCAAATGGTCACCGCAGTGAGAGTGTCTTTCCCAGCACACAGGGTCTCCTGGGACAGATAGCCATAAAAGCACTGCCCTGTTCCCAGCCGTGTTTATGTTGGCCTGATAGTGGAGGGCACTCATTTAGGTAGCCAGTCCCCCTAGAGAGCCATAACACAAGTTTGCCTTAGGACAGAGAACTCACATTACTACATGGTTTTATGTAATCCCCATCTCTGAGCTGTATGTTTTATCCTAGACAAGCTTGATTAGAAATGAAAGAACATAGTGTGTGTTTTTTTTTCTGGGAATAGAGGCTTCCCTGGGCTACTTTTATTATTGCTGGAGGAAAAGATTTACACTTAACATACACTTACAACCAGATTTTACCAGCTTCCTCTCACATATTTGGAATTCCTTCTGAAAATGTCACCAATTCTTGTAGCTTGTGCATAGTTCATACACAGTACTCATTTCTCGCTTTTTCTTTTTTAAAAATAGTGTATACTAAGTATACATAATAATGTGTTTCATTAAAGCATTTTAAAGTGTATACATCTTGGATGTCATTCAAGGATAAATACTCAGAAATCCTTTATGCAGCATCCCATAGCCTGAAACATGAAACATAAAAATGAACCACGTAAATATCAGGTGGAAAATGAGTTATGAACACTAAAATGAGCTTTTAAAAGTTCAGCAGCCACACCAAGAAAAGAAAAAGCAATTTGGAGGATGGAGAGACTTTCATGAACAAGTGATATTTAAACTGAAACCAAATTAAGGTTAGGAAAAGCAGAGGGAGACTAGAGAGCCATGGAACAGTGACATAATTCTAACAGTAAGAGAACTCATTGCCAAAGAACAGGCTGTTTCCCCAAAGCCAAAACTGACATACTACAGGCATCAGTCCATTCCAGTGAGCAAGGATGAACCACAGCCAGATTGAAAGAGAAAAGAACTAAATAAAATGCAGTGTGGAGCTGTTCACTCTGTAGACAAGAATTGTTGAGTCTTGCAGGACTCCCTAAAATTTGTCTCAGAATATTCTGTACGTGGATGAAAGGTGATGGTTTTCCCTCTTGGATCCTACTGATCATTAACTCTAAGTACTGGTAAGTAGCCTATGCCTGGGTACCCAGTGAATCTCCATGGGCCACTCACACTGTGTCATCAAAG